CAATTCCACCTTTGCAAGGTCAAAAAAAATAATGTCATTTCTCAGTATCATTGCTGCTTCTTTATTGCAACCAAGCCAGTGAAGAAGAGGTCAAAGTGGAATTAACTGACTCTGATCTAGATGAAGTTGATGAAGAATAGCTAGTGACACGCATGAGAATGACTGCGCTTACAGAAAATCTTGTTACCATAGCAACGACATCTTTCTCAGTCTAAAGTTTGTTATAGTATTGTTCTGTGCTGTAAAGTTATTAATACAGATGATGATGTGTGCATGTGGCGTTTCTTATTGTTTGTAATGAGGAAAAATCCTATCAAATTCCATCCCGTCGCACTGATGGGACTTTTGGCTCAGACCCTGCGCCTTTCATCGTGGGGCATGTCCATGAGACGAGAGATAACATGTATGAAGCTGTGAGTCTGCAAAGGCTGGCATATCAAAATGCAAACTAGAGACATATAGCAAGTTAAAAATACCAAAAAGAATTGGTCACCTCAGGTGGTACCGATTAGAAATTTTGGGTCCGAACCGATGGACTATACAGCTTCTTTCAATTGTCACGATAGAAACATAATCAGTGAAGGGTCAGAACATTTTCACAACCACTGTTCAAGCTACTGTAGTTTTTAGGATTTGATTTTGCTAGTTATATCATCAGTTGTTTTTATTAAGTCATATGTGTGTTGATACAAAGATAAAATGGACCTCAAGTTTGAAGATTGGTAATTTTCTTGGTAACTATTCCAAATAAATAAATAAACAAAATATGCTATTTTATATGTGAAGTGATCAAATTTGGTACATGATGCATGAAGACCATAAAATTTCAAGGCTTTTAAAATTTATTCAAATATCCTGTTGTACAAACTTCAGCTTCTACGAACCCTAAATGTAGAAGCAGGTGAAATACATTCAAGTCATCAACAGCACTGAGAGTCATTGCATTGTCTCACTTGCCCCACCTTAGACTGAAACAACGGTATGAACTTTAACACATAGCAGTCTGCGTGAGAAGCATAAATTAATCTCCGTTTATTGACTTACAAAAATGTATATAGCAGATGCATTACAAGATAAACACAGTGGAACACAGTGACTCGTTGTGTGTAGTGGTTTATCGTGGTGTGGCACAGAGGCAATAAGGTTTGGGAGAGCGAGTGCCTCCCAGGTTGAACTCCAGACTGGGCTGCTCTCCAGCAGGTGATGAGAAGGAAAACCTCTGAAGTAGGGAGGTGAAAAACAGGAATAACTCCATCTTGGCCAGAGGTTCCCCGAGACACACCCGCTTACCTTAGAGCACACAATACAGCAAGTAAATTTAATTCATACAATTCATAGACTATTCGCTTTGATCACATTTATCACTGCAGCTCTGAAAGAAAGTCAGGATACAGCAGAGACACTGATCCATTCCCAAAGTACTAACCAAATAATGTAGGTAATGTTACGGTAAATGGTAGGATCCAAAAATGTATGTATTTTTCTGTACAAACAGAAAACTGAATATAATCCATTGAAAACACAGATCAAGCTTTCAACCTGAGTCACCTGGGGGAAGGTGTATGATGTTGCAAGACCCAAAACACCCAATGATCCCAGGATACATCACTGAAGATGTGTCTGAGTTGCGTGACAAGTGTATGTTACGATTTATGGGTGTTTGGAACTTTCCCTCCCTTAAAAACACTAGCATCTCTTGTCCTGAATGATTTTGGACAGGGATGGGCACTGCAGTAAACAAAATGTTATTTGTACCTGTATTGGCTACCACTGGATCTACTGACTCACCTGCAGAAAATGGAAGGAAGGCCTCTCTCTTCCTAAATTTACCATTCTGGTCCAGAAAGTGCTGAGGGTTGAAGGAGTGTGGAGTTTCCCACATTGTCTCATCGTTTAGGACCGAATTCAGTGAAGCCATTAAAATGGTGCCCTAAAAAAAAAAAAAACTCTGTTAAAAAGGTTATTTAGCCTACCTCTTAAAACATTTGTTTACATGTCATAATTAGCCATACATAATTGTATGGCTAATTACATAATTAGCAATGATGTAATTGCAAAATTAGCATAAGAAGCAAAAATAATCATTTTAAATTAACTTTGTTAATATATCTTTTATGACACCAGTCCTGGAGCTTTTCTGACACACCTTGTACATACTTTAACTAGCCTTAGTGCTTATTCTCAGGCAATTTAAAAAATATTTAATCTCAAAACACCATTATTGACAACACCAATAATATACTCGACATTAAAATCAATGCATAAATACAAAAACAGTGTCTGTCTATCAGCATTAAAAAAATTCTAATATGTACACAAGTGAGAACATTAACCAGATTTTTTCTTGTCCAGAATAGAAGAAGTAGAATAAGAATAGAATAACAGAATGCATCTACTATTAGTTCATGTTAAAGTGGTATTGTGCATAGATATGTATAATAAAGGCTAGATGTCTTAAGGCGGCGCTTCGAACGCCAACACCCTTCTGCCGTCTTGATACAGGGAAGCTCTCTGGCGGAACCTGTGGTACATGAACGGAGGTGAGTGATCTGTACATACGTAAATACTCTTATCTCGCTGAAATCTTGACGGATTTACAAATGGTTTGGTTTTTTGCAAACGTTATTAACGTGGCTAAAATTCAAATGACAAAAATACAAATAAGATATAAAATAATTAAGATACTAATTGTTGCTGGCCGTGAGAGTGTACCATAATTATCCATAATTGTTATAACTATACCTCTGACATTTATAACAAACCAAACCGTTTGGTTATTTAAAAAGTACATGCACCACTACAACACAATGTTATGGGTGAGCGAGCGGACTGTGGCAAGATGGCCGCCAGTGTGGCCGTGAGATTCCATTGGCCGACAGCGCGGACGAGACATCTAGCCCTTATTGTATATATCTATGGTATTGTGTACCTTTGGGATTGTGTACTTATCCAGTGTGGTGTCCCTGTTCGCCATGCGGACCACATTGAGCGGGAGGATGTTGGCATTTCTCTGTATTTCATGGATGACTGCATCAGTGTAGGGCATGTTTTCTCTGTCAGTCATGGAGGGCTGTCTGGATGAACCAATCACAGCATCTATCTCAGCCTGGACTCTCTCTGCACAAAGTGACAGCAGGAAACAATGTCAATCTGTGATAAAATTACACATCTCACACCTTCTCCCCCAACATAGGACGGACCTGTGAGAGACCTCTAACAACTCGTACACTCACTCTGTATGTCAGGGTGGTGGATCATGTACAGCAGCCCCCAGTGTAAAGTAGTGGTAGTAGTTTCAGTTCCAGCAATAAACAGGTCCAGAGTGCAACAACATAAATTCTTGAGATCAAACCCAGCATCTTTGTCCTCCTTCTATCAATGACACAAGAGACAGAAGCAGGAATAAGTTGACACAATTCATTGGAAAAGCAAAAACACAAGACAAAGTCACTGAGATACTCACATCTCCCATTTCAACCAGAAATGAGTCAATGTAGTCTCTTGGTGATGAGGGGTTGAGGTTTTCTTTGTGTTCTTTGATCTGGACTTTTGTGAAGTCAATGATCTTATACAACAGAGCAAAGATCTTCCGATGAGGTCCAGGCAGCCACTTCATCAGCCAGGGCATGCTGTTGTAAATCTACACAGCAGGAGGACAGTTATCAACTCTCTGACAGACACAAAACGGTGTGAAAGTCATTTCTGGTTAAATCATCAGTGGATAAAGATTTACTGATACTTACATGCTGCATTTGATTAGTTTGTAATGGAATCTTTGTACAATATTGTTTTTAAAATCCACATTTGACTTATGTGTTCAGCATAAACGCTGATTTAAATGAGATTGTTGGATGTCAGTTGGATGCTCACCTGGATCAATATACCTCCTTGCAAGAGCACAATCTCATTGAAGTGGTCCAGAATAGTCTGGTGCGCCTTATCAGTGTACTCGAATCGATGTCCAAACACCAAACAGCAGATGATGTTGGACACAGCGCTGTTCATCAGTGACTGGGCATTGAAAGGCTTGCCTAAAGTGAAGAGAAAATGTAGAAACTTTGTCAAAAAAGGAATATATATGTCCTTTAAGCTATGTCCTTTTCATAGTTTTAAAGCTTTACAAAGTTTGTCTCTGTCGTAAATGCAGTGTCAGCTTGTGTAGCCAATACAAGCTAGTCATATTTAGAAAAGTTCTTAGAGCTGTGCAAGCCAGCCTCATGATAACTTTCTTTTTTTTTTTCATTATTCATGTTATGTACCGTATTTTCCGGACTATAAGTCGCTCCGGAGTACAAGTCGCACCAGCCATAAAATGCATAATAAAGAAGGAAAAAACATACATAAGTCGCACTGGAGAATAAGTCGCATTTTTGGGGGAAAGTTATTTGATAAAATCCAACACCAAGAACAGACATGTCATCTTGAAAGGCAATTTAAAATAAAAATAGAATAGAGGCAACAACAGGCTGAATAATTGTACGGTATGCTTACGTTACATGACACAACTGAGAACGTGCCTGGTATGTTAACATAACATATTAAGAGTTATTCAGATAACTATAGCATAAATAACAGGCGAAGAAGTTCACCAAACCACCCATGTCACTCCAAATAACTAAAATCCAATGAAATCTTCATCCTCGGTGTCACTTGTAAACAAGTCCGCTGACTCCGGAGGTAGAAGATGCGGCGCTTCCTCTTCTACGTCGCCTACGTCAGACTCATCGTCAGTTGCAGTTCCAATTATTCCAGCCTTTCTGAATCCTGACAGAATGGTTTCAGTTGTCACCGAAGCCCACGCTTTGTCGATCCATCCAACGACTTCCAGGAAAGTTGCACTGCGCATTCTCCCGGCAGCACGTTGTTCAAGCACCCATGTGCGAACTCGTTCCTCTAGCTGTGGCCACCTAGCTTTTAGCCCGCGATTGGCTTTTTTTGTTTTCTTCATTTCAGTAAGAGTAACCTCCGCTTTTCGCCAGTCCCTTACAAGTTTCTCGCTAACTCCAAACTTTCTTTCTTGCTGCTCAATTACCGTTTTCGGCTGCATATTTTACTGCTTGCAGCTTGTAATCTGCAGAATATGATTTTCTTTTCGGTGCCATTTTTGTTAAGCCCTTCTCAGTTGTTTTTAAAAGTTACCGCCAATGTTGAAATTATCAACACAGGCCTAGAGCGCCCTCTTGCGGTTTAATGTGAAAATAACATGTGAAATGATATACCGGTAATAATGTGTTAATAATTTCACATATAAGTCGCTCCAGAGTATAAGTCGCACCCCCGGCCAAACTATGAAAAAAAACGCGACTTATAGTCCGGAAAATACAGTACACTGATCAGTTGTTTCAGTTCTAATACAGTGAATGCAGATGGTCTTTCAAGTTCTGATGGTTGCCATATTTTTGTTTGTGATCTGAAGTGTCTTTTTGCGTGATTTTCTGCTGCAAATTTGGAATTAAAAGTAAAACCACATGTCTGTGTATTAGGTAGCAAAGAGTAATGCGTCATTGTAAAATAGAATTTTCGTGCCTTGGTGATCTGCGAAAGCCTCCGTGAGATATTGACACTCCTCCTGGATGAACAGCTCCATACTCTTCTTGCCCAGACCAAAGTTTCTGAGTGTATGAAGAGCAAATCTCCTCTGCTGCTTCCATAGATAACCATTAGATAGCACAATACCTTTTGGGAACACAAAACAGCATTAGACCAGAAATAATTTGATACAGCTGGTCTCATGGAAAACACCAACTAAGAACTGAAATAAAATTCAACAAACACCACCTCTTTCCCTAGCTAATTCATCAAACGAGGGTACAAAGGGACGATCTGCGAAGTCTTCTCCACGTTGGACCAAGGCTTCTTTCACAGGCTTGTAGCCATTAAGAACCACGATCCTTCCACCAGAAAGACGAAGGCTGAAAATGTTTCCATATTTCTCTGCAAACTGAGCACAGACAGTGGGTTGGTGTTGTGGTGTAACACTAAGGTGACATATCTTCTGAGGAACAACAAATCATGACTGAATGTAGGAATGACACAGAATGTAACTGATATTAAAGCTATTGGAGGCTGTTTCCAGAAAACTACTGCACCTCACAACGTCTCTCTCAAAATATAGTTTATGTATTCCGTGCTTTATGGAACATTATTCACTCGAATTGAAGGGTTCTTAACTCTGTTTAAAGGTCACAGGGTCTGTTAACATGCAGGCTCCACACATGCACAATATAATGAGCGAGGAACTGCAGAGAAACACAGAAAAGAAAATTTTGATTGCAAAACAAAATGCAACATCAGCTCTCTGGACATATTTTAGCTTAAGAGAGGACGACTTTGACTAAAAACAAGTGTTCTGTCAGCAGTGTCTTGCAGTTGTTGTCACTTTGCGAGGCAACACGACATTTAAATCAACACAACCAGCTGCAAGAGTGCAAAGACATCAGTGGCATCTAAAGCACACATAATACATTTTTTTTTCTTTCCAAATAGAGTTACCCCAGTAACAAATTCCCTAATTTGTTCATATCACACTGTTTACTGCAGACAAGTTAAAATATGCATAAGTAAGTCATGATGGAAAGCAGCTGAGTAGATTTATTTAAGTAGTGCACTTAATTATAATTTTGAGATACATGTACTCGAGCGTTTCTACTTTATATGCCCACTTTATGAGATTTCAGGGAGAAATATTGTACTTGCTGCTCTGCATCTGCATTTTCTTTTAAATTTTTACACAATTGATAGCGCAACAAGCTTTTAAAATACAATGCAATGCAATTCAGTATTTTTACATTGCTCTGTTTTTACTTTTACTTAAGGATGTGAATACCACCTCTGCTGTTCACAGTTTATAAGTCCTTTTCCTTTTTTCTTGACTTGAGTTAATGATTTCCTTTGCTTCCCATCGGACTTTGCCTGAACCTGTTGAATGGAAGCTTGAAATGTTGCTTTCAAAGTCAGGGCTTTCCTTTAATATTTATTTATTTCAAAATGCAAAAAGAAATTTACAGTTTAATCTGTTTGGAAAAAGAAAACAGATGCTATCAGTGTGTTAGATGTTTCTAAAGCCTCAGACTCTTTATTTTCTATTATTATTACTATTACTATCATTACTATTACTATATGGACCTATACCTCTGTGAACTGCAGATGAAGTCTTGCAGGTTGGATGCGATGAAGATCACCAATAAAAGGTAGAGCCCAGGGTCCAGGAGGGAAGTTTTTCGGCACCCTGTTCTTCCAAATGTCAGCCAACAGCAGAAAAACACATAAAAATATCAAAATACTTCTGCTGTCTATCCACTCCAAGTCAAGAACACGGAGTATTGCCTCCATGTCTTCCGTTGAACTGCACTTGTTCCCGCTAAGGTGCGTTTAGTGAAATGGAGTGACTCCTCCCAGTCTCTCTTAGCCAACCCATACTGTAGTACATAGTGGTGTGGCTGCACCTCACTGTCACTCTTGGTCAAACATGTGCATGCAGGGAGGGATATATATATATATGTGTGCGTGTGTATACACACACACACACACACAGACACACACATATACACACACACACACACACACCAACACACACACACCTACACACACACACCAACACACACACACCGAAACACACCGAAACACATCTACACACACAGAGACACATACACACGCCTACACACACACACACACACACATATATATGGACAATTAGCATCATGAAGTGCTTTATTGCACACTCAGCTCTTGGCATTTTACCATTTTGAACAGAAATGAGGAATTTCAGACTGAATTCATTTTCTCATACCCAAATTGAGCGGCTCACTGGGCTTTTCTGAGAACTTAGAATTAATCAATCACAACATTCAACCAGTAAAACAAATTTTCTGTTCAGGAATGCAAGTAAATAACTAAATTTGACATCTTAATCAAGAAATAGTAATGTGCTTTACTATTTTTTTCATATTTTTTTGTAAAACAGTAAATTTGAAAATTCATGGATAACAGTAATAATTATAATTTTGCATTAAAAATGTCATTTTGGTTAAAGAGCTTCTACATACTGGTGTATTAACCATTACGGAAACATAAGAATTGATTTTGGTAATTACCATTGCTGTTGTTTCAGAGCAGCTGTGGCAAAAACCTTACATTGGATGGTGGTCTAATAAATTTGTTAAGTCCTGCATGCATATACTGAATTTGGGAAAAATGTAGTTTTAGTTTTGTGCTGCACACATCAAGAACATTTTACAAACAACAATAAAATGTCAAAGAGCTATACCTGTGGGTCAATTCAAAACCATGATTACAAAGCACTTTGATTGTAACTGCTTCAGAATGATGTCTCCTGCTGGTTGTTTTCTCGTTGCCCTATTTATTCTGTTCAGATTGTAGTCTAGACATCATTGAAAACAGGAGCATGGCCTCAATTATTCCTGTAAAAATGGCTGAACGAATGAATGAACCTGTAGCCTACATCCGATCAATGAGGTGGAGCGTGAGTGGACCTGAAGGAGGCCATGCAAACATCTCTGGGACATGGACTCTCCGACGGAGGAACCCACCTGTCACTCAAAGTGCCCATAACTTTCGGCAGCTTAAATGGGTGGGTTTTATAAAAATTCACTCTCCATACAGTTGTCATGAACAGGGAATTAGCCATAGAGACTAAAAACGTCTTTCAGGTCAGGCTCTAAACATATTTATTTCTGTTGTAAAGTTGGGCATTTTAACATGGAAGTCTATGGGGATTGACTCACTTTTGCCATCGGCCTCAAGTGGCCGTTTCAGGAACTGCAGTTTTTGGTACTTCCACAAGATGGCTTCATTTTTTTGGGCAGCCCTGGGGGTTGCTGCTTGCAAAGAACACAGTCTGGAAGCTGAACAGCAGAGGGCTGGAGGTGCATATACCGCGGTACTGGTTAGAGTGGAAACAGGTGAGCTGTTAATGGAGTGAGTGAGGTGGGTGTGGCAGGTGTGTGGAAGAAGTAAAACAGAGAACAACAAGACTGAATGAATGACTCAAAAATGTAATGAAAAACCTGAGACTGTGACATTATTGCTAATTACTGAATGATTTTATTGCTGCACCCTTTGATTCTAGCAGATGAGTAATTTGACAATGCAAATATATATATATTTGTTGCACAAATCTAGATAAACATCCAGCTACTTTACAAAACCTGTATCTGAGTATATCTGCGTTGATACTTAGTCATCTAAGTCATGGTAATCCTACGAGCTTCAGTTAAAAACAACTGGACTTCTCTTTTTTGTTCTTTAAGAAGTTTGATTTTTCATGTAAGACATTTCTTAAGGTCTAACCGACTGATGGGGATCAACAAACGTTCTGAAATAAACCTCATCTTCTAACTGACTCTTTTCAAGGTGAGCACTGTGATTTCTGTTAAAAAACAAAATGTTAATGACATTTTATGGGATCTTTGAATACAGGAAATTACTTTAAGAATTTCTAAAGGTTTACTGAAAGAGGCCACTGCCTGAATAACCTTCCAAACTGTGTTTTATTTACACTACAGTAAAAGAAAGATATGCATATATCTAGTATACAAATAGTCTTGATGCATTACAAGATAAATGCAGTGGCACACAGTGAGTCATTGTGTGTAGTGCTTTATCGTGGTGTGGCACAGAGGCGGTAAGGTTTGGGACAGCGAGTGGTTCCCAGGTTGAACTCCAGACTGGGCGGCTCTCCAGCAGGCGCCGAGAATGAAAACCTCTGAAGTAGGGCGGTGAAAAACAGGAATAACTCCATCTTGGCCAGAGGTTCCCCGAGACACACCCGCTTACCTTAGAACACACAATACAGCAGATGAGTCACAAAACGTTTATTACTGCAGCTATGGAGCATACAGAGCATCTGGAAGATCCAGTAGAGACACAGATCCCTTCCCAAATTACTAACCAAATAATGTAGATAAAGTCATGATAAATGGTTGGAACCAAAAATGAATGTATTATCTGTGTATGATAATATGCTGAAAGTGTCTGCAGGCCCACAGGTGGAAAGAGTAATCCACTGAAAACACTGATCATGCCATTAACATCTGCAATCAGTATCTCCTATGTCACTGCCTTGTTTTTCATTCATTTATTTCCCTGCACCCTGTGTGTCACGCTGCATTAGCTGCCCATGTTGCTACCGGTGGGATCAGGGGTTTACAGTAGTCATTAGGCAAGATACAGATGTTGGAATCTCTTAAACTAAATATAAATGCATTTCAGCCGTAAACTTTCTTCAGTGTTTG